GGGGTCTCTTACAATTGTGGAGAGTAAAATACATTAAGAGGCATCATTTTAAAACTCGAAAACAAACAAATATAGGGTTATTTTAGCTATTAAGGCTGAACGAGATACATTAACTCTATCCAAGTATACATATTGTATGGAGTATCATAGTCTACAGTTTAGAATAGGGAGGACACTGTCTTTGCTGAAAGTGAACAAACAGATGAATCAAAGCTTTGTCAGAAATGATTAAAAATCTAATTGAGTTTTGTGTGAAAATCAGTCAGTCAGTTCACTGCACCATGTGGGTATTCCACTAATTATAAAAATCTTCATCTGCTATGAAGGCATCTCAGGAGACGTGTGTGTGTGTGTGTGTGCATGTGTGGGTATATTACAGAGAGAAGGGAGGGCAGAGTGAGTGAGAGAAAATTACATCTGTTTTGGGTCAGCAAAAATACTTTATAGCCGTACTTAAAGAGGCAGTAATGAAGCTGCCAACAGGCACTCAAGTAGTTCATGCACACACACACACACACACACACACACACACACATACAGTATGCAGACATATCATCTCATCAACCCAGCACAACATTAACTGCATATCACGTTATCCATCCTGCACACACTCATACACACCTGTGCAATATCCCAGTTCTCATCTCTAACCCCTGCAAAGCTTTAAATAAGCCTGAGATCATCAGAGATCATCCAGATATCTACATGATAACAATATCAATTATCACAGCATCATGTTGAATCAGCACACATTCCCTCAGTCGACACAGAGTGAATGCTAATGAAGATGCAGATCAGCGGTTTCAAAGTGCCAGCGGGTCTTATCTGTATCTACAGTAGCCGTGCATGCTGGACTGTGGGGCAACGCTGCCTCTCAGTGGTTTATACAGGAGCTGCAAACAAGAAAAAAGGGGTATTTTTCTGAAGAGCATGTGTGTTTTTGCATACAGAATACTGGTTTTCTCAGTAAAACCGTGTTGGCTATGTGGACAGAAAAGATCTATGACGAATCTCTGAGGTCAGCTGCTCACAAAAAGACCTGTGAACATTGTGAATTGTAATAAGTTGTACAATCAAACTTTAAGGCGTTTAATGTGTTTTGCATTAATATTTTCGTGGATGAGCTCCCCCATGTTCTAAATATTTTATCGGTCTTGTTCAGGAGACACACAGACCAAACTCAAGAGGTTGCTTTAAAGTAGTCTTCAAGCAGACTGTGATGCTCTTACAGGCTGTGATCTGTGATGTCTTTGTAGGACAGAATCTGGATAGTGGAAAAGGGTCTCTGATTACCCATTTGACCTGCACTCTAATCAAGTCCTGCAGAGAAATCATCACTAGATTGACCCCAAAATGTACACCCTGCAAAGATAATAGGACCAGAGTTTGTGGACAGGTTCTTCAGTGTGTGGTATGAGGTAGAGGTGGTCTCAAAGCAAAGACAAAAAGAATGTTGTATCGTGTGTAATTGTGTTCATGATTCTGTGATTGTTCTCTATTTCAAACCATTAATTTTCTGTACCTGTGGAGATAAGCGCAATAAAAGCAGTATTATAGCTTTTGGTAAACTCATGTTTAACTCTTTTAAGTGTGTTATGTCATTTAGTATTTGTAGTTTTTTTTTTTCTTCAAGTTTATCTTAATGGTTCTTTCACTGTTCTCACTTTGTGTTCTTCTTTTGTGCTTCAACACAACATGAAGGCTCTCTTTCAGGCAAAAAAAAAAATTCAAGCCTGTTTATTGTGTATGGTTGGGTGTGGTAAGAAGTGTCCTCTCTTTTGCATATGTAACCACACCTAACACATCCTAGAATACACTTCTACATCACTGCAGGTGATGTCAGCAAAAAGATTTTCAGGTGATGTTAAGTTAGTTTTTTCAATAGTTATTCATCTTTAACTACCGTGCTGCAAAGTGTATTAGGTTATGTCTTCTGTTTTAGATGATTATGCATGGATTTAAATGAGGAGTAGGTCATCTATAGACCCACAGATGTGTATAATGTTTTTGATTCCAGCTCTTTATAAGTAAACTGCTAAATCAAATGTTCTCCTGTATCCATGTAGCACCACAATTTACAAAAAACAAAGTTATATTTCCAAGTGAAGTGTATTTTAGTTTCAGGGTCACTCCAAACTGAGATTTTATTAAGACCACTGATCTCTGTGTCCTTGTAGAAAATCTGCTGGGGCATTTCTCAGTGCTTCAACAGCTAAAAAAACCCAGACAACTGAGGACACACTGAGGACACACTGTAAGCACCTCGCAGGTGGAGCAGGACAGGAGAGCTCTTCAGAGATACAGACACTCCACTCTAAAACCTGTCAATTACTCTTTTCATGTCAACACAGCCTATTTCTGATGAATGAGAGCAGCTGGAAGGATAACTTCACCTTCACCTAATCCATCTGTAACGAGAAGGTGCTTTTCATCCAGGAAAAAACCAGAGAACAAAAGAGCCGAGCCACTGCGGCCTACAGCTGTTAACCTACGCGGTCACATTGTGGGAAATATGTTAGATGTTTAATTTGAATTGCCTAAAGAAACAGAAGTGCCTGCTGCCAGAGATGAGCAGATTCATGTCCTCAACACCAAAGAGGATAGAAGCAATACCCTCATATTATAATTAATACATTAACCACATGAGAAAAAGAGCAGGAGAAACTCAGCATATAAAGGGATTCAGAGGGAATAACACGTCCATTCTCTGTCTCAACTAGATGAATACCGACTGAATAAATAATGTTGTTTAATTGGTGAGTGTGTGTTTATGTTCATCATGCTTTTTTCAAGCCCAACTAAATTGAATTGCATGTTTTTGTCAGCACAAGTCTACTAGTTAAACCATATGGTCTCCTTTGAGAAAAAATCAGAACATAAAAGGTCAAAATCTTATGTGTTTGTGTTCATGATAGGGCCACAGAGGGTCATTCCATAACACTTACTGCTGTTCTAAAGGTATTGCCGAAATCTTCAAAGACTCTTTTGACCATCTGGATGAAATAATATTCTGTCTGTTGCACAATTTTTACCACGGTGCCCCTCTTTTTCCTCATGTAAATAAAGATGCAGCCAGAAATTAAAGATGTCTTTTATAATTTATACAATGTATATCAAAATTTCAAAATGTTATTATCAGTTATATTCGTCTATAATTAGGTAACTTATTAACTTATCAGTTATTCTATATTATCATGCAAAATAATGCTAATTTGATTATAATAATTACTTTGAGCTATAATGATACGAAACTCCTTTTTTTTAATCAAACCTACAAACATGAACACGTCCTGGCTGCATCATAGCTTGTTAAATTAGGGACCAAAACATAGACTGTATAAATAAAAACAAAGCAAACACATGGTCACCCAGAAAAAAACTCAGATAGCTAATTAGCTAGTCAGCATCAGCACATAAAACAACTTAAAAACGTACCTGCTAATGTCATTTTGGTCAGTTTAGATGCTGGTGTGTTTTTTATTCTTCACTGCTAACTAACTAAAACCTGTCATTATTTGTCTTTAAAGTTTCCAGCAAGTGTGTTTACTTTGTATCTTTGTTTGATGCTGAGGCTACAGCCTGCAACTCGGCGTCAATCAAACTCACCAACACACCTCTTCATGGGCTAAGAGAAGTCGTTCTAATATTTCCAGAACAACTTTTCTTTTTTTTCCATTTAATAACATAAAACTATAAACAATAAATTAGAAAATGTATTTGACACACATGTTGACAGCAAAAGGGATAGCTAATTGTGATTTTAGTTACCCTTTAAAGCAAGAGCTTATAATGTTTGAAAAAAGAAATAACACATTCTTCTCCTTATAAATGAAAAGCTCTATTTATAAGAAATTAAAAAAGCTTATGGTGGCTAATGTGTAGATACATATGCTGTGTAATAAGATTACTGAGTCAGATCGCCGACTTCATGACTATTCTCTACTTGTGTTACTGTTACACTTTAGCATTTAACATTGCCACTGAGTGTCACTTGTGGCCACAGTGGCCGCTCTTAAACACACACATAAAGACAAAGCAAAGTCTGGCTGTGGCCAGTAATGTACATACATAAATATGGGGGCACATTACTCACACACTGTCGTTCATACTGTAGACAGATAGATCAAAACAGAAAGGCCATTTCAAAAGGTCAAAATTTGCAAAAGGGCTGGCATGATTTAACCATTTACATATCCCACTGATTGTTCCCAACCTGAAATGTACCTGGAGCTGTGTCCACAAGAGGGTAGCAGAGTTCCTCATATTTTTTAACATGCAGCTTGGCAAGAGTAAAAAAAATCCTCTGTCTCTTCTCTTCGCCTCCCTATCTCTTTTAGTCTTTGCTTGCTTTGTTCCTCCCAGCTCTCTCCATCTTTAGAACACAACACTGCACGCTTTGTTGTGTTATCTATTTATTGAGGATTAGAAACATGAAAAACATACCAAAAAAGCCTGTGAAAACATGAAATAATCTTACACACTTAATAGCAAAAGATTTATATAAACCATTGATAACACTAAGGCTAATGTAGTAAACCTCTATGAAACCTTTATGAACTATATCCTCAGCAGACGCTGACGTTGGCACCGTGCTAGGAGAGCGTGTTCACGTAAAGCGGTTCATTTTGTGCTTGTGTGAGCAATAACCTGAGCTTTGAGAGGTTGTTATTTACACCAAGGAGTGATTGTTTGGCTGCAGTGACTATGCAGTGTTTCATGCGTGCATTTTGGTGCATCCATGTCTGAGTTAGAGAGAGTGTGGTGTATGCAGAGTTGTCCCAGTCCTAGTTTTCTGGCTCCATGGACCAAGACCAGGTGGTGTGCTTGTCATCTGGGTATAAATGCGGGAAGGCAGGGTGCAAAGATGGGTGATAGATGGATGGATAAATGATCTATAAATCACTAATAAAAGGGTTAGAGCACAGATTGCTGGATTGATTAGATTATGAAAGATTTTTGTGCATTTCAATGTATGGACACCAGGCTGGGTGGAGGCCTGGTCAGGAGAGTGGTGGCAGGGACCGGGTGCTGACTGGGCTGTACTTCATCCTAGAAGGTGATGGAGGTGGCTGGGTGAGGTGAGGGGATGAGGGGGATGGACGAAGGTGTGCACTCTGGTACTCTCTCCCAGTCCCTGAGCACACTGAGCTGGGAGCTTGCGACCGACCTCTGGGCCGGCGTAACTGAGGCGGGGTGGAGGAGGAGGTTGGTATGCATTTGTACTGGGAGGGAGAGTGGTGGGATGATGGATGGCAAATGGGGGAAGAATAGCTCCCAGGCGCAGAGTGGCGACTGGGTGATGGGTGGCGACCGGGTGATGGGTGGCGACCAGGTGAGGGGTGACAGCCAGGTGAGGAGTGCCTCCCAGATAAGGGTTCACGATGACTGGGTAGGTGTTCCTTGGCGTGTTTGGGTGACTTAGGCACCTTGGACGACTTGGGTGTCTTAGGTGTTTTTGGTGATTTGGGTGATTTGGGCATGGGATGAGAGGAGGAGTAAGAGTTGGTGCTGTGAGTGGGAGGGGCTTTGCTGGGAGAGGCAGAGTCTCCATTGTTGGCAACCTTGTAGAGGAAGACGTCATACTGAAGGGGTGAACTGGTCTCTGCGTGGTGCTTGGCGTCTTTGGGGAGGAGCACTTCCAGGCCAATAGTGACTCCATCCTGATGTGGAAATATGGTAAGTAGAGAGGGATGCAACAATGTAGGGACAGTCACAGAGGCAAAAAATCAAATCAAAAATAAAAATATGTAAAGAAATACAGGCATGGATGAATTGGGCTCCTGGGCACAGACACTTTATCTTAAATCCACTAACTCCTGAGGGAAATATCTGTCTCTTTAGCTGCTAAATCCTCCATTATGTTCATCAGCTAGTCGCTAACTTTGTCTACCGTTTGGTGCTGGGTAGGTATGGTGGGTTTTCAGAGAGCAGGGAGAATGAACCAAAACAGTAAAGTAGGGGCAGGAAAACCAAACCAATGAGCTGAAAAATGCAATGAGGTTGACATGTGATTCATTGTTATTACAACAATATTGATTATAGTCGCTTTGACCATAACTCTAAGGTTCTAAACATCATACAAAAATAGTATAGCAGAGGTAAGGTAACATTTAAAAGGATCCTGTAATACCAGTTATATAGAAGAGCTACATATTGTAATATCAGGAAAATCAGGATGAAAAAATGTGATGGCGATCTATGACTTTCCAAAAAGATATGATAATAACAGTAACCCCTTTGGAGCTGTGCCCAGTAGGCCCATTCATTAATCCATCCATGGCTGCAGGACAGATGATAAGTACACATGTTCAACAATAGCCATGGAGAAATAAAACAGGACAACAAATGATAAATAGATGTTTCAGAATATAAAATTAAAAAGTCTCACATAATTTGCCAGATGGGTGCGTTTGAATAGAAATTATCATCAACTAGCATTACAGTAAAGCTTAAAGGTGAAATTGGATTTGTGCAACAAAACAAATACCGCCTTGTAAAAAAAAAAGCACAGACAAAGAGATACAAATTATTTTCTTATTCATAAAGACTAGAGAGGCATAGACTTTATAAATTCTAATTTAAAATACCATTACTCTTGCGGCATTCATGTTGGAGAGCTGTCCTCGGTGCTGAATAGGCACGCAGTCACCATTGTTTGTGTGGTGTAATCTGTGAGCAGCCTACTGTAGCATAAAAGCAGGGTCAGCCGTGCATTCAGTTATTATTAGCATGGGAGCAGTTGGGCAGTAGTTAGCTTCGTCACTAGCAGACATGCAGAGAAGGATAGAGAGCGAGAGAAAGGCTGGAAGGAAAGTAGAGCTCATAGCAACACACAGGGACAAGCTGGATAAAATTAAAAAGATTTATTCCAACAACTGTGAACTATAATCCTCCATGTTTACCCAAAAAAGTACAAAAGAACCTCAAGTACATTAAAGTATTATAAATCACATTGAAAACCAAGACACAGCGTGTGTAATATATGTATATAGATTCAAATATCAACTCCAAGCAGTTACTTTGACCTTAAGTAATCTAGACATATCCACTTATTAGCAATGTCAAACATGAATATTTCGCAAATACAGATTCACTTGATTTCCACTTACTTCTTTTGCAAATATAACGTTTTCAGACACTTTTTTGTTGATAACACCAATGCATGCGGGTAGAGAGAGACAGTAAGGCGGGGCAGGCAGAGGTGAGGGGAGGGTTTTGGGGGAAACAGGAGAGCAGACAATGAAGGGGCGAGAGTTCATTGGCCAAAGACCAAGGCAGGGCATCAGTAGAGAGGAAAGTCAGTCATTAGTTGGTCCAAGCCAGAGATTTTAGTCCAGCAAGATGCGGATAGAGGAAGGAAAGGAGGCAGCGATGCCACTATGTGATCAGCATTGGCATGGCAGCCTTGTAAACAGGACTATTGTGCTTCTCAGGTTTTATCCTTAAATTCATGTTGTGCTTACTTCTGAGATTAGGCCTGATTGGACTGTTTAAAATACACAGTGTGCATTTGCAAGGTGTAAACAATGTTAGCCTATAACGATTTGTTGTTGTTTGTGTGCGCATGAAATATTTCGATCTGATTCTCCAGCAGCACACTTTGCCAGATGGTGATATTATACCAGGTTGTTCTGGAGCGTGTTTACCTCAGCATTTTCCTCTGTGTTGTTAGGGGTGTGGGCTTGGTCGTGGACGACAGAGGTTGGGCGGTTGTTCTCGTGTTTGGGGGAATGAGAGTTGAGGATGTTCATTGAGCCCTCTTCCTTGGGTTGTGGGGACTTTGCTGGGTCCTCCAGCTGCTTCTGAGGCTCATCCTGTGGGGAGATTTTGTGACTTTTTACACATTCCTGGCCCTTACACATACAAACATACTGATAGACACACACACACAGGACATAGGTATGTATATACACCCTTAAAGTGCATCTGCGCCTCGTGGATGTGCGTGCACTTGCAGGAAAGTCTGTGCAGAGCTTTAAATGCTTTTCTGCATGTGTTCAAGCTCCCTTGTAAACTAATACCATTCCTATCCTGATTTGTATCTTTATCAAATTTGTATTTTATATCAACTGAAGCGATGGGGTAGCGTTTCTTGATCCAGTTCACTGGAATATTTGTTGTTATGGCAAATACAACAAAAAATGCACAAAATAAAAGCATGAACTTCTGTGGCATTACAAGAAGAGGCTGGCTACTCCAAGTGTATTGAAAAAGAATGTAGGAGTCCGACCCCTCCCTAGATAATAGGGGAACAATAAATTAATTAGTCATACCGAATTTCCAAGTACTTTTGACTGGTTAAAAGTGCAAACTAAAAACTAAGTAAAAGTAAGAAAATTAAAAGCAGGTAGTTCAGTAATATCTATAGCAAAAATCTCCCAGAGAGCTTTTCAGCATGTTAGAGAGGATCATTCTTGAACTGATGCGGGTCACTGTACAGACGGATACTGGACTGCTACGCTTATATGCCTCAATATTTACACCAATCTGACCTCTGACATTTCAAAAACTGCATTGCAGGCTATGTGTCAGCAGGGGCTTTTTAGCCTCCAGATCTGACATTTAGAGCATCCGCATGTCACAGACGCTCATCTATAACCACTGCACTGAAATGCCAGCAGACCTCTGAGAATAGTGGCTTGTATTAAAAAAGCAAGTCGCAATTTGTTTACCTGATTTAGCCCAGCCAAGAATGGGTAATGGAGTGAAAATGAATATATGATTTTGAAAACAGCGTGTGCTTGTGTTCGCAGCACGCTGTGATAAATGCAATAAATGCATGCCCAATTATCACTGAGAGAGCTGTGTTTGTGCGACTACAAATGTATATATGTCAGTTTGTAAATGTCCAAGCCATCGATTGATTGGCTTATCACAGACGTATGAAGGTCATAGGCACAGCAGGCAGGAAGTAGGCCACCATCGATCAGTCACTCTGGCTACTGCTGGACAAAACTGTGACAACAAGTTCAAAAAGCGTAAAGTTGTGGGAGCAAAATGCTTTTGTTCAGTCGATCTCATAGACTTTATAAACAGTCTATAGTTAATCTCTGTTTATAGCTACCTCTGTCAACAAGATTCTCCATTGTTTATTGACATCAAAATTTTAATCATGCATCAGTAACCTTATATAGCATGTTGGCTTAGTAACCCAGTAGGCGAGTATGATTGATGAATACCAAACAGGGGCACATATAAATCTGCCTGCAAAGACAAACACCCCCCCCCACACACACACACAGACACAAACACTGATATAAATTAATGCATCAATGCATACACATTCATATTCACAGACACACACATGCTGCTGCAGAATAAAATGCACTTTATAGGAGCACTACATGCACAACCTTTGGAAGAGAACGGGGTAGAAAAGGGAAAACCTGCTGCAGAGGGACCCTAAAATGGCCGTCTGAGCTTTATGGGCACAAGAGCGAAGCGAGCAGTTGAAGCAAAATGGAGGCTCGGTTTCCTCATTGAGCTTCTCAGGAAGCTGCAGAGGCACAGGTAAGAAAGGCAGCAAATGTGGGAACTTGCTATTTATTCACACAGCAGCGACTACATAACACCCCTGAACAACTGGCTGCAGGATGCCTTGCTGGGGGGCGATTAATCATTTCACCTACAGCTTACGTGGTACACAGCTGATACAAGATCAGATGCAGGAAGAGTCTGTGGAAGTGAGGTTTGCAGCAAAAAGGAGAGCCAGAATTTGGCATCTAGCAGTTGCATGGTGGGTAATTTCAAAGCAAAGGCAGGGAGGGAAACTGCTGCAGGCAATGTGGATGTTTCCACTCTGCTTACCTGGAAGTGGTTATAAGGGTTTCTGGGTTTATATTCCCAGGTATAGCTGGTTGTTGATGGCCTCTGAGGGGATCAGTGAGTGTGAGAAGCGTTAAAAACACACATACTGTACATTCACAGCTGCAGGTGGTGAAAGGTTGTTGATTTAATAGAGCACCAAGGTGAGTTATATGTGTGCACGACACTAGAAACTTAAGTTAGTATTTGGGTTTTAGGACAGGGACATGCACAGAAATGGAAAGAAAGTCAGACCAAGACTGATGCAAGAATCATATCACTAAGCTGGAAGTGACATTGTGAACAAAGAGGACAATAAGTGAAAGTTATAACAGACAGACAAAGAGAAAGGAAATCGTAGTTGCAGATTATGGGACAGAAAGAGTTTGACGAAGGTGACTGGAGGGAGAGAAAAAGGATAATAAACATGAGGAGAGGCGTACCTGACAGATAATGTTGTCATAGTACGCCAGGTTGTGAGTGTGAGCTTGGGGAGCAGGCGGAGGGGTGTCACACAGTTTCCTTACGTTTGGCTGCGAGCCGTCGGCTGTTGTGGAAACTGAGAGGCCATCCGTCTGTGGCTCGCTGCTCTGTGGGCGGTACTTACTGCAGGGGGGGGCAGCAGGAGGGCAAAGAGAGACAGATTTGTGTGATTTTTTTTTAACATTCTGTGCATTTGTATCTCTCCAGGTCCACATTTTCCTACATAGCTCTGCACAGTGTGAAACTAGGGTTAAAGCATCTGGTAGACACACACACATCGCACACGAAAAAGTATCATCACAGTCTAAGAACATAAATAATCCAGTGGACACTAAGGGGAATTAGATCAACTCTAAATACGACATTGTGGCTGGTGTCTATAAAATCTCATTTGATTTGAGTAGATGGATTTATATCTCGGTACACTGCTTGTTCTACACTACTCTTCATCACCATTTAGCTCCACTCTGTCCCTCACTTTCTGTCTTGCTGTCCCTGTGCTGTTTTTATCATTTCATTTATCAGTCGTCAGGCTGTTGAGTCAGGAATTAGTCTGACACAGGCATAGTCGGAGCCGACTCCCTCGGCTCCCACCACCTTGTGTAACTCACAACACATATTTTTACATCCTCACCTCGCAGTCACACATATACACACACCTGCGTTTGCGAAGGCGCTTGTTCTCATTCTTGAGGCGGTGCAGCCTCTTGGCAAAGAATACAATGATCATGAAGAGGAGGATGAGCACCAGGGAGGACACGCCCACCACCACGCACATCACCTGGAACTCTGTGACCGCCCAATCACAGCGCGTGCCTTTGTTCCAGATGTAGTCCTGCACATTGCACCTGGATGCACAGTGACACAAAGAGGCAGTATGGACCTTTTTGATCAGTGTAACACTTGGAGCCTGTCGTTTTTGTGGTCAGAAAACATCGCTAAGCATCTATGTTCCTCTCTCCTGACCTGAAGCCAAGAGGTTTGATATGAGTGTGTTCCCAGTGTACTAGCTATTTACCACATTCATAGCTACAGCATGTAAGCCAGAGTGTAAAGTGGTACTCAGAGCTAATGACATGGTGCCCTGAGGTTTGTCCAGCAAAGCAGGGATTCGGCCTGCAGCCTAGCCTTTAATGAGATCAAAGGATCAGGACACGTGCATGCATGTGTGTGTGTGGGTGTATCTTTTCCATATCCCTGTCTTTCTCTGTGCAATCGCATGCAAGTGTTTGAACATTTGTTTGAAGTGTGTCTGGCATGAGTGTGGGTACGGCTGTGTGTGTGTGTGTGTGTGTGCTGTTACTCAGCAGGTATGGTGAGATGAGCAACAGTTTACCTCCAAGCTTACACCGAGGCTGCTGGATAGGACAGATGGTGCTATCAAGGCGTGTTGTTGTGTATGTGCACGAGGAGTGTGCATGTCTATTTACACGTGTTTCCCTCCCTGACCTTACTGTATTGTCATCTTCCTTATATGTGTGCACAGTGTGTGTGTGTGTGT